AAGAAGACATCTTGAGGCTGCGCTTTAATTGCGGGGCTTGATTCAATGAGAGCCTTTCATTCAGTGTGATGGACTTTAAACCATACCCTTAGGTAACCCAGTATAAATCCAGAGTAACCCCACTGGATTTGCATGAGTGTGGAAGAGATCAGTATCAGATGCAAAATGCCAGCATAGATGTTTCTGGGGCAAATGGAGCAATATGAGCTTCCACGGCTTTGCGATAAAGCGCTTGTTCGTGTTTCAGATTGATTTGGACCCTGACCTCCGCCCGTGTTTGCTAGAACTGAGCGTGTTGGGAGCAGGAGACCACTCCTCTCCTCTCTGCTTGACCGCTTGGCAGGGAGAGCAAGCAGTGTCATTGTCAGAACCAGCGGAGAGGAGCTGAGAATAAAGACATGAATGAGAAAAGGCATGGGGAAGTTAATGCGTGCGCGCGCACACAAAAAATCACATGCATTATTCAGTTCTCATTAAAAAGACTACAACACCTGGCAAGAATCTTTTTGGGCCAAGATAGAAAGCATGTGCAGAAATGCTTCCTTCATGCTGAGTGGCTTTTGTCAGGTTTAAGAACCTCTCACTTATCAGTGCTTGATACCGTTTTCCCAAGTGAAATTATACTTAGAGTTGGGAATAGGAAAAGCAGGGTTCATTTTTACTTTTTTTGGTTGTCCCTCCCAAGTCCCTTTGAACTACCTGCACATCCGTATACCCGACACATTCTCTTGTCTCTGTATCGACACACATGCTTAAAAGCAGCTAATCCCTCACCAGTCCTCTTTCAGAAGTCCCTGGAGCTGAGCCAGCCTTTTAATGATCATCTGTCAGAATTTATTTGTAACCTATGGTGTGGGTCACCTCTCTGCTTGACTTTTTTTTTTTTTGCAGTCCATTGATTTTGTTGGGTGTTTTTTTCCCCAAGCTGTTAGAAAAATGATTTGGGGCTCACAAACTTTTCTCAAGGGTTCAACTATACATGTATTTGTATTGTTTTAAAAGGGGATCAAGCTGTCTAGGCCAGGGGGAAAAACACCTTGATTTTATTTTTCTTATTCTGTGACCTCTTTTCTTTCCTAACAATAATATAGTTTGTGTTTCTTAGATGAGGAACTGAGTTCATGTTTATAAATGACAGTATTTTTTTTTTCCATAGAATAACTGGATGCAAAATAAAACCAAACAGGTCTTTAAACAATAAAAACAGTGCTAAATCGCAGTGATTTCTTTTTCCCCTTCTAAATGCAGTTTGATAAAAATCCTATTTTCAGTCTCTTTTGAGGGCGCATCAGGATTCTACCTTGAACGTCAATATTTGAGCCAGTCCTTCGGTTTTTTGCTTTGAAACCTGGAAGGATCGGTTTTGCAGCTAAATGATGTGTACTGTAAAAAAAAAAAAAAAAAAATATTGGCACGGAGGCACTTCACTTACACGCCACACGAGAACTTTTCAAGTCTCTTTTTCAAATTCTCTCTTGATAAATAAGTCTTTTTAGTGGTTGTGGGCTCCTTTTCCTTACTTCTCTCAAGGGTTTGTGTGGTTGTCGTGATATCAGTAAGAATTAATTTTTCACGGTCTTATTAACATTGGCAAAACTAACACGTCCAGGTGATAACCACATAGGGCAGTTATATTGAAACACTTTTTTTTATTTGGGGTGTTTGGTATGTATCCTCTGAGTTTCATTTAGCCTAAGATCACTGGTGCTGTCCGCATGGGAGTGGAGAAACTGCTTATGCAAAGGGCCAAGTCCTGCTCACTTGACTTCAGACATCCTATTATTTTAAATAGACCTGCTGTCATGAGTAAGCCAAGTCGGATTTGGCCCATCGTGTGTGACACATTCATCCTAAGACACGTATGCCTACATGTGCAGGTTCTGTGTGTGCATGGATATGCACGTGTATGTGCATGTGGGGTTCCAGGTGAGCGGGTGTATGTGTATGTATGGTATGCATGTCTGATCAATGTGAAATGTTTGAAATGATAAAAGTACATATTATGTGTGCACGTACTGGATTTCAACCACTGTGTGAATGACTCCTTTAGATCCTAAAGAGAAATACATATTTTACCACCACTGAAAATAATCCAGCAATTTGCATTCATGTTTGCTGAGGAACTCAGTCCAGCTCAGCAAAGCTAAACTGACCTTGGCTGTGAATTCGGAATTACTGAATTATAACTGATTCATTTTCCTTGGGCGGAGGGGGACCCAAAAAACCACTTTTTCTTAATTAGACTGTATGTCTTGTGGTTGATGGAGAGGGGTCTTTAAATCTATTATCTTTTCTCCGAGCTGTAGTGAAACATGAATGAAATACTGCAACCTGGAAGCGTGCGTGCTTATAGGAAATGCCTTTTTTGTTTGGACTGCGCTGAGGATCCGGGTGCATTTCTTTTTCATAAGTCAACTTTTTGTTTAGTAATACTGCTGTATGCTCTATGCCGTTTCAGCTTACCCGTGCAGTCTTGCCCCCTTCACAGATGCATAGTTGCACTTGGAAACCTGTTCACGTGGCTGTCGGGAGCAGTCCTCTGATTAGTGGGTTTAAATTACAAGCCACTTCAGAGAAAAGTTTCTCCATAGCTATTTTTTTCCCCCCCTTAAGTAATTTGTTAGTACAGGACAAATGTTTTGTTGGTGCACGTCGTTATAGTTGTTCTCTGGCTTTGCAGACCCTGTACTGTTTCTGGCAGTCCTACAGACAAATCCACGTTTAGCTTTGGGGCTGTTTTTTATTAATCTTTTACTGTACCGAGCTGTTGTTAGGATTAAAAATGTTTAATGTTTTGCAGTCACCAGGTGATAAATGGCTGGTGATTTAGCATTTGTTCTCCTGGGTCCATGAGGCTGGTCTAGGATCCTAGCCTGAGAAGTTCCTTATTTGCTGGTGTGTAGATTGTGCCCTGGGGGAGAGCGCGCACATGTGCAACTTAGCTGCGCGTCTCACGGGGATGCTGCTGACCCCACGTACTGAGCAATGACTGACACTGGCCCAATGACATCAGCTCACAGGATTAGGCCCCCAGAAGGGGCTACTCTGGGCTTGGCAGTGCCATAAGAAATATATTCTAATTGGGATCTTTTTCCTCCCTTGTGTCTGGAAAATGCCATAATTTGGTTTAGTGTTAAAATACTAATGCAGGCGGGAGGGAGAGGTGTCATAGGCAATGTGTGATAACTCCTCCTCTTATTTGGCACGTAGAGACCGAGCTGCAATGTCAGAACTGAGTGACTATAGGGAAGTTTCCAGTTCCTGCTCCTAACTTTCTGGTTTTGGTACTAGAAACAGCAGCCACCTAGGAAATGGCCTTTGTCTAGCTCCGTCTAGTTTCTCAATGGCCTGTTGAGAGTGACTTAATAAGTAGGCTAACCCCAGGATGGGTGTGTGTGTGTGTGTGTGTGTGCACGCTTGCGCGCATGTGTTAACAGCCCCTCAATTCTGGCCTGTCTTTCCCCTCCCGCATTTCTTAGCATTACCTCTTCTTTCAGAACAACCTTTCCAATCCAGCTGAGGGTTACAGATTACCAGCAACCAGATACACGCAGGCTCTCGTGCTTGCTTACAAGCAGTTGCTGCGTGCTGTCTAGTCCATAACGTGAGCCCCCTGACTTAGAGGCCGAGGACGCCAGCACCTGGCACCCCCGTGTGTTTTCTGAGCCGTGGGGTTGCAGAAAGGACCAGCTAAGCCACAGCGCAGGGCCACGCTGAGCACTGCTGTTCACATTGACTCTCACGTGCGGCTCTGAATGGCTGTTGCCTGCATGACCATGTGCTTTAGGCACGTGGCAGTGCCCTGTGCAGGCTGCTCAGCACGGCTTTTGCTAGAACGGCAGCAAGCGCACACACTGGGCTGTGTGTTCGTGCCATTACCAGCCTATAGTGAAATCGCCCTGAAATGGAAAAGTTGAGCTGCCTGGGCTGCATGTGCCAGGAAAATGCAGTATGCAGAAGATATTCACAAAACTGCATGCCGGATCAAAAGGAAGATACAGAATACATTTTGGCGAATACAAAAATAGACCGTCACAAGAAAAAATGCTGATGCCCCAGCCTGGTTAATACTAGAAGCAAGAACGCTGGATCTCCTCCTTCCACAGATTTAGCTTGCCTGTCCACTGTTAAACAGTTGTTATTTGTTTAATAAATTGCTGGATCACGGGAGAAAAAACAATCTGCATTAACAGGGGTTACGAAGTTAAACCGTGAGAAGCAACTTTTGTGTGAGATGATTTGGAAACCTCAAAGGGCAAATTCTGCATTCCTTGCGCAGGGTTGGGCTTGCAAGACAAATGGGTTTACTTGAGTAAATGCTTTTCATTGG